TGCTTTACCTGCTGATGAGGACACTGCTGCAGAAGATTTGCTAGCTATGGAAGACGATAATGGGGCCAATGATTTGGCCAATTTGGAGGAGATGCCCTTGAACACTGTTGTGCCTGGAACAGAGCATCTTGCTCAACTAGATGATACATCTGATGAGGAAGACCTTGACAGCAGTGATGATGAAGATCCTTCCAATACTATCTAGAATGATAGCTTGCTTGTAGCTAGCTATAGCTAGCTTGTAAAAACCAATCTAATCTGCACTCCGAAGTAGCTTCTTTGTACGTTCGTTCGTCGCAATATCGCGATCTCCGCTGCAGTACGTCGTATCGATACATGCAATGTAGCTTTGATAGATTTGATGTCACTCGCAGAAATGTTCTGCGACTGTTGGTTTTTGTGCATATCGAGAGTTTGAATACAAAAATTTGTCTCTCACATTTTGGAGTGCTCCTATGATTGGCCGGCGACTGTCCGGCGAGTATCTATAGTCAATCAGTACAAACAACACGGATTCGACACACTCACCGGATTACACCTTCAAATTTCAAAATTTTCCTTGCTGGAACCAGCAAACCAAGATTCCCTCCGATCGAATTCAGAACAAACAAAAACACCATCAGAAGCAAACACCACTCGCACTGTTAGAGACCTCATTCTCTCGATGCCTGCTGCTTGTATGGCCCTACAATCATATACTTATCTGCTGCTAATAGTGTAAGGAAGACAGTAGTATTTGGTTGGAGGGCCTTACTCCCAGCAGGCATCGAGATTTATGCTATTGAAGCACTCCAGCGATCGCGACGGAAAGCTTCCATCGGCGGAGGAATGACATCAGGTGCAGCGGAATGCGCCACAAACACCGATCGCCAACCTATTGCTACTACTATAACAAACCCATACTCAACAGACAGAAGTCAGAATGCTGTACCGTACATGGATTACAACACACCTTTGTCAGCAGGTGTTCCTTCGATTGATTGTTTGTTATTTCACTCGATCTCTCGCGATAATCTTGGAGCAAACAGCAATATTTATTCACAGTCCAGCGCTGGCTTACAGCGCGTGGCTCTCCACCTTAAGGTGGACGCCCAAACGCAATAAGCCAGTGGTAAGCTGTGTATAAATACTGGTGTTCACACCAAAGATTATCGCGAGAGATCGAGTGAAATAACAGAACAATCAATCGAACGAACAGCTGCTGCTTAGGTGTGTTGTAATCCATGCAGCGCCCATCTATGAGACTATTACTAGTACAGAATGTATGTCTAATAGTAGTACCGAGGTGTAGTCGATGGTCTCTCCTTGATTTTTGATCAGCCTGTTATCTTTCTTCGAGGCAGCAGAAGCCGAGACGATTCTTCGATTCGGCTGCTTCCGACCGATAAATCTCAATGCCTGCTTCGAGTATGGCCCTGCAACCATACACTACTGTCTTCCTTACACTATTAGCAGCAGCTAAGTATATGGTTGTAGGGCCATACAATCAGCAGGCATCGAGAGAATGAGCTCTCTAACAGTGGCAGTGCGATTTCTTGCTTTGTTGTTCTGATGGCATATTTGTTTGCTCTCACGGAATCTTGGTTTCGTTTGTACACAGAAACGAATTTTTTGAAATTCTATGTTCGAATCCAGTGAGTGAGACCAATCCGTGTTCTATGTACTATTTTACTATAGAAGCGAATTCGGCGAGCCGGAACAGCTGGCCAAATTGTGAGGTCAATTTTTGAACCTTCTGATCCCCGAGACCGTTGGTTTGAAGAGAATTCATTGAGCACCCGCACCGGTACCATATCTTTTGGTCTGATGCTCCTGCTCCGTGCTACTAGTACATGTACACGAACGTTCAAAGCAAAGACAACCATTACATGTAACATTGTTAGCTAGGTATCTACAAGCTAGCTAGTAGAGCATTGTTTCAGATGCCTCTAGATTGCATTGTTTGGGAGGACATCTTCCTCATCACTGTCAATGTCTTCCTCATCAGATGTGTCATCCTGATCTAGCATTGCAAGATGCTCTGTTCCAGGCACAACAGTGTCTAATGGCAACTCCTCTAAGAAGGACAAATCCTGGGCTCCATCCTCTTCCAAAGCTAGCACATCTTGGGCTGCAGCATCCTTCTCCACAGGCACAGCAGCTGCATCACTGGTTGGCCCTTGTGGGGCTTCATCAGTCACTATATCAGCTAGCAATCTGCCAGTTTGTCTACAGTAGATTGGTGGAGCTTCAATGTCACTCTTGCCAGCATGCAAACATGACTTCTTTGCCTTCTTGCTGACATGACCAGCCTTGCCGCAGAAAGGACAAAACTGCTTTGCTTTCTTTGCTTTCTTACGAACTGGAGGCATCGTCCTGAGATCCTCCATTGTGACGTCCGCCATATTGAGGCCGGGGTGGTAAACACCCGATGATTTTGCAAACTTGGTCTTGAATTCTTCCGTTGCGTTGACCAGTTTCTCGTTTTTCCTCTTCTTGCGCCCCTTTTTGTAGTCAGTCGTCTTCTTCCTGGCTTGTCGCTTCTCCCGGCTTCTCTGCACAATGCCCAAGTAGTGAGTCAATTCGTCCGTCATCTCAATTCCAAGCTTGAACAGTAGCCGCCGATAGAACTGCTCGTAGCCAATCGAATGGATGCAGACCGCAATACCGAGGCGATTGCCCAGCGAACAAGAGCTTGCAAAAACTTTGTTCTTTGGAGCAAACCAGGTCGCCAAGCTATTGAACGATTCGTTGGCATTGGTATCCAAACCGTGGGCCAATTCTTTCAACCGTTGCAACGTAATGTATTTCGATACAAGTGCATCCAGTAGCTGGTAGAGTTCCAAATCTTCGTCCTTCGTTCTGTAAACCTTCTTGCTTGTCTTTTGCTCGTCCTCCGTCTCTTTTGATCGGGCACACCAAGGTCCACAGTTCGTATGGTTGTCAAAGTGGTGATCCAACACGGCCTTGCCGCGGTTTTCGAATTCCGCTTCCTCGATCTCTTGGAGCGTACGAATGAAATAAGCAAAATTCTTGCCAATACGAATAGAATCCATTCGGCACATCCCCTTCTTTTTTTCGACTGTCGACAGATCCAAACGGATCAGCTCACCCGTCAACTGTTTGCGGCGGTGTTTCGGATCCGCCACAAATTTGGGTTCTGGGATATCACCCGGTAATTTTCCTTTGTCGGGGCGTTCCTGGAGCTCGCCCTTGTTCTTGCCTTTCGTAATCTTGACCATGGGAAGAACGTCGGTCTGATAGTTGATTTTGTAGTTAGCGTTGCTCCATTGCAAGTCAGCTCGGATGGATGAGTCATCGTCGCAGCACAATCGACGCAAGATCACTTTTGACTCTCGGAAAAATCCAACGACAAGCTCCAAAGCCAGAGCGGCCTCCATTGACCCAGACGAGTCATTGGGATTGTGGTTCCGAGTGCAAGTGTGCTCCGGAACTGGTGGACGATTGTCAGCATGCCGTTTTGCCCAAGCAATGCATCGGCTGCAAACCTTGCTCTTGATGCCAAACGAAATGATCTTTCTCGTAATGGCACCAACAATGACACCGTGGCCTGACACGGAATTACGCAAGTGACCGGATCCCTTCTGTTGCCACGCCATATCGTAAGCCCCGTCGACAAACGGCATCTTTTCCTTGCGTAACGTGCCAGTGGGATCGTTCACCACTGCCATCCAATCGAGAAAGTATTGTTCGTTGGCTGTCGATTTCCGCACCTCCTCAACTAGATTTTCATGGATGACTTCGTCGGCCAACTCCTGGATGGATGGGGCGATTCGTTCTTCAATTATTCCGAATGAACGAGTTTGCATGGTTGTATCGTTTGGTAAGCCCAAAAGACCGAGGATTCTTGCACATTCGGTTCCACCGCCACCATTCGCCAATGTGCCCAATACTAGCATCACATTGATGGCATGATCCGTACTCCTTTCAACTTTTTCGTAGCCAGTGGCGTTTGCATGCATTGTTGTTTGGGTTGGCTTTTTGCTCGTATAAACGTAGTCGCAATCATCATTGTTACATTCCAGTTTGAATGACGAAGCAACACAGCAGTTGCGGATGTTGAATTGGAGGGATCCATTACAGCCGTCTGTTGGACACGACATCTTGCGGAAACATTCGTCCAATTGGTCTATTTCAAAGATGGCTCTTTTATGCGGTTTGGTGTTGAATGTGGGCTTCTTCGCTCCCTCATTTTCCTCCTCTGCGGTGTTCTCCTCCTCTGCGGTGGCTTCTTCTTCGTCTGGTACTTCCTCTTGAAACTCTGGTGCCGTTGGGTTGTCTTCCTCGTCACTCAGCTCTTCACCGTACAAAGTCCTCGCATAATTTGGTCGTCCTGCTCCATTGTGCCTTGTACGGGTAGTTACAGAGGCAGAGCCACTGCCGCCAATATTCTTCCATCCTCCCTTCGAAGCTAGCTTGGCTGATTCAGTAGCGGGAGTAGCTCTCCAATATGAACATGTTGGAGGTGTCAATGCAGCGCCGGGAGTAACAACCCGACGAGATGGCGACATTGGACTGAGTTGTGGAACCACACGGGTTTTATGCGAGGTGCTCTCTGCGCTATTGTCAACAATATATTGCCGGGAAGAGAACAAGAAAATTTGGCGCTCACACGGTAGGTCGACTGGCTCGCACATGGTTGAAAGACTTAGAGGCGAACACAGGATAGGTGCGCGATGGATCTTACAAACCCAGTTTTTGACTCGAACTCGAAAAGAAAGTTATCCGGTGAGAATATGAATATTCGAAATTCCAAATTCCGTACATATGCGAAAGATCGTATGTTTTGATACGTCCGTATTATTAGTAAACTACTGCTGGCTTATTACGTGTGAGCGTCCACCTTAATTGAGCCCCCTCTATGAAAGCAAGTAGGCAAGCCAAATCCAACTGGGCTTGGATGTGGCTGAAGCGGGTCCTGCCCACAAGTGGCTGTGGGATCTATGCCTGAGCCATCGTGGGGTCAAAATTGTGGGCGTTAAATATCCCTGTTGCTGACACCAACCATCGGCCACTCACTAAATTGGGGTCCGTTGGACCTCGCAAATTGTCATTGCTACCATCGAGCACACATTCCGTGGGAATGCAAATTGCCATCGAGCTCACAATCCATCACTTCTTCTCTTGGGTCATCTGAATCGAATCAGCAATGGTTGCCATCCCCGTCTTGTTTGCCTGTATCTTTGTTACTGTGATTCTTGTGGCTCTAGTCTGCATCTGTCGGGCCAAGGCGTACGAGAACAAGGGAAACAAAGAGGCAGAGGAAGACGGCCTTCGCCGGGTCTATGCTGGACGAGATTGGTGCGGTAGCAGACGTGATTTGGAGGCCGATGACGGCAGTGATGAAGATGAGAAAGTGAAGCCAGAAGAAGAGAAAGGATCCAATTGAGCTTTGCTGGGAACTGACCGATGAAGGCGGCAATCGTGGATATCCTTCTACACATCACACATCAGCCGCCGATAATGGCCCGTCGTTATCCCCGAAAGGCACTGTGCATGGGGACGGTCCAAGAAAGCCATTTCATCGTGGTCGAAGGTACCAGTTCGCAAATCTGAAACTTGGGATGGGAGGGAGCAAGTATTGCTTCGCGCAGACACACGATACCAGTACGCAAGAATAGGCTACAAATCGCCAACTTCCTCCTCAGTTGCAATGTACCGAATTCTCATGAGATACTAGCTAGAAATCCTGCATCAGTATCTTTAGGACGATAGAAATAATCAACAGTTGCCGCTCTCGTTCGCCAGCACATTTACCAATTCAGTTAGGTGGCAACAAGACTCTCGTGTTAGAGCTGGCAGAGTGCTGGACACAGATCAGTGGATTCAATCGTAGAAAATAGTACACAAAGCTGAGGGCATTGTAATGGTCGTTTTCCCTTTCCCTCCCAACAGCCACCAATTTGTCCAACCATTCCTCGTCTGACACAAAGTTTCCCGCTTCCAGAAATCTTTGTCTACCAATTTGGTTCAAGCGAGCATAAAACATTTTCATGCTGCGAAGATCCCCACAATACAATGAGTGATCGACAACGTACATCGCCAAGAGTGTACAGTTGGATCTAATCATGTCGTGGTACGCAGCCAGAGCAGATGCGCCATATTTAGGCGTAGGTTGCACCAGCCATGCTTTCTCGGACCATCTGAAGTCCAAGCACCGTATGGTCCTGTTTCTCTTCAATGCTTCCATGATGGCAATGAATGCACCTTCATCTTTAACAGCACCCGGGCTTGCTGATCCGGTACGACAAATGAGGATGCAGATTTCTCTGAGCACCGGGTTTGGGTTTTGAAGAAACTCACAAAAGGCTTGAACAGCGACTGCATCCATGTCACAGACACCAAGCTTCAAGGTCTCCAGATGGGACGTGAAACACCCTGTCGGAGACTGCTGCGCCAGCGTTTGAAACATTGTGGCCGTGGTTTCGCCAGGAAAAGCCATTTCGAAGAGACAAAGTCGCCGAAGTTGTGGTAGTCGGCACATTCTTCTAGCAGCCCCAAGGTCAATGTATCCTCTGGTTTTGGCAGGATCAACAATCGCAGAGGTCAGTTTGGGACTGTTGCATGGCAAAATGGCACCAAACCTGTCAAACTGTTCCAGGGGATAGTCTAATGCACAGTCGCACGTATCCAAAACAAACTGGTCCAACTCGGGCAAGTTGTTGTTGGCTAATGCAAACTCTTCCCAATCTTCATTGGTACCATCCAAGATGCAGTCTATCAGTTTCAGATTTTTCAAGGAAAGACGGCAAGATTCCGAGCATAGCAATCGCGTCAACAGCCGAATGGGAAAGGGTCCTGAGCGCTCATCGTCTGCAAAGATCCCAATATTCTCCAGAGAAATGGTTTCCAGTGGCTGCTGTTGTAGGGCATGAAACAAGAGGCTGATGTTATTTGAATCGCTCCAGGGTGGTTCTCTCATGGAGCCAAAGCCGTCGACCAGAAAATGCCGAACACGAATCCCCGGCGCCATCTGATTGACGAGTTCGCCAAAGATAGCCGTGTCCTCGTTCACATCCCCGATAGAGATCCTTTCATTTACTTCATCCATTCTGAATCCAAGCAAGCTGATCCGATGTCCGTGGGTTGTTACTATGCGTTAGAGGGGACTATGGGGAGGATGGGTTGCAGAGGTGGGGTGGGATGAAAGAGAAAGATGAGTTGGTGGGAAAGTGACACAAATACACAAACCCCAAAGATGCCTCTATTCAATACGGTAGCTAGCTAGCAATAGTTCGGCCTCGAGTCCCGCATCTTTAAGGCAACAGAGCGGCTTAGATCCCTTCATTTCGGAGCGGAGAACAACACCAAGATCCATTGAAGAGCACAACACAGCCACAGCACACTGTGCCAGCAAGAGCCAGAGCACAGCAGCATCCTTATTAGACAAACTCCTCCAAGCTTGCTAAGAGCTGCATCAAGCTAGGGATCACCATGGCTACCCCTCCAACATCTGAGCACCCGTTACGGGGCAAATCGGATATTTGGATCAACAGCATTCTTCCATTCGTGGGCATAGGACAGTTTGCATTTGCGGGGGGTGTCAACAAACACATGAAAGAACTCTATCAAACCTACTGTGGAACTGTGAAAAATCCTCCGCTGGTCACAAATCCTTCCAATTTTTATGAACGAGCAGCAACCAGCACTGACACATTCTGCAGTGCAGGATTCTGCAACGTCCCATCTGCGGAGCTCTGGTATAGTCAATATTCTTCCCATCAGACTCCAAGGAGAGTTTGTGTGTGTAAGCAGGTTGCCAAAGTTGGTAATGTTGCAGTGCTTCAATGGGCCCATTCCAAAGGATTTCCATGGGATTGTTCAACACCTGCTGCCGCTGCTCGGGAGGGGCATTTGGATTTAGTAAAATTTGCACATACCAAGGGATGCCCTTGGGATTATAGGACATGCTACTATGCCGCAGAGGGAGGTCATTTGGAATTTTTGAAGTGGGTACGAGGCAAGGGATGTCCATGGAATGAGACCATATGTTTTTGTGCTGCTAAGGAGGGACATCTAGAAGTGTCGAAGTGGGCAAGAAACAATGGCTGTCCTTGGAATGAAGCTTCTTGTAATGCAGCAGCTCAACATGGACACTTGGAAATCCTAAAATGGTCTCATGAGAACGGTTGCACCTGGAACGAAAAGACAAGTGCTTGTGCTGCTAGTGAAGGGCATTTGGAAATATTGAGGTGGGCTCGCAACAATGGCTGTCCGTGGGATGAGATAACCTGCTCCAATGCAGCTAGAAGAGGACATTTGCATGTATTGAAATGGGCAAGAGACAATGGCTGTCCATGGAATGAGTGGACATGTGCTGGTGCTGCAGAAGGCGGTCAGTTGGAAATATTGAAATGGGCTCGAGAAAATGGCTGCCCTTGGGGAGCGACAACATGCTCTGGTGCAGCTAGGACTGGGCAACTGCAAGTTTTAACTTGGGCAAGAGAAAATGGCTGCCCTTGGAATGAGAAAACTTGTGCTCGTGCAGCTGGTGGAGGGTACCTAGAATTATTGAATTGGGCGAGAGAGAACGAGTGTCCTTGGGATGAAGATACCTGCAATTTTGCAGCTCGCATGGGGCATTTGAAAGTTCTCAAATGGGCCCGTGCAAATGGGTGTTTATGGAATAGAAAAACTCGCCAAATGGCACAACGTGGAAGAAATGCAGAGCTTTTGCGGTGGGCACTTGACAATGGCTGCCCCTAGCTAGCCCTAGCTAGCTAACAGCTAAGATACAGTACCTGTAGAAGTTTCATAGATGCAAAATTTTAGTTTGCTTATCACGCTTGATTTCTTTCGATGACAATTTTTCTTGGGCTTGCTGTGTGAGTTGCAATTGCACCTATCGTGTACTAGTAAGTGATTGAGTTGTCGGCCCCTTTTTAAAAAACTTGATGTAATAAGGGGTCAATTGGCAGCTTCAGCTGCATAGTGAAAACATAGTGGTTGCCAACCAAGCTAAGGCATGCCCCTGCTGTGACAGAAGGCTTCCACTGCAAGTCCCATGAATGCAGATGCAAGTCTCTCACATTGAGCCAACAGCAAGAAAAAGAGCGAGATAAGTTAGCAACCGTGTTGGACAACAAGGCGTGGGGTTGGCTACCAGAAAGCAATAGCCGGAAAGTGCCTATGCGAATTAGGCACAACCCTGTGGTACCAGTCGCTGGCGAAAGTACAACATTGTAGTTTTGTGCTGACACACGCAATATGTGGTGGCAAATAATACACAAGAAAATGATTGCCACTTCCACAGTCCACAGTTACAGTCAACATTCAGATATATATACTGGGGGGATTCAGGAATTCAGTAAATATAACAGCGAGAATAAATATTGATTTTATCCCTAACCCTAACTATTCCCGTAGAATTGTACGTGCTCTAGTACTAAAATAGGGTTAGAGTTAAAAATGTGGGAACTGGAGTATTCTTAAATATTATAGAGCGAATAAATACAAGATTATAAATATAAGCGAGCGTTGACTGTAGTCCTACAACCTGTTCCGTGGGGTGAATTGATGGAAGCGACCGTTGACGTCTGTATTCTTTGGTCAGAGTTCTTGTCCCGCAATAGATTGCTCCTTGGTCCAATCAAACGCTTCCATCTCTCTGAGTATGTCGACGTGGTCACCCTGCGGAGAGAAAAATAAAGTTGAAGTGTTGCAAAAGCTCTTCAAAGACATCTAAATAGCAGATGTTTTTATCAATTGCCTTCGGTGGGTTCTTGGAGGCGATCCTTTAGCAACAGCTTCATCGCACCCTTTTTTAAAGGAGCTAAAAGGGCCCAAATTGTTATTGGTTGAGTGGCACGAATGTCCAACGATGACACTTCTGGAATAGGGCAAGACCCCATCCATTAAATAGCGAATACCACGTCATCGGATGCGGAGGTAAGTTAGCCTTTGCCACAAGCCTCGTGCCGTCCTTCTCGTTTCTCCAAGTTTTTTTTCTCGCTCCTCTCTCCCGCCCAACTATTACATGTACACTCCCAAGCCCTTGCCGCGTTGTTGGTTGTCCCGTTGGTTAGTGGATAGTAGCAACTCTTTTCGACTTTGCTTACTTTGGCAACTTCCTTGACACAGCCTCTCTGTGACACCAGGATACTAGTATACCCAAAGCTACCGTTCCCTCCATCCATCCATCCATCCATCCATCCCCAAGGTTTAGTGTGGACCATTGCAAATGACAGGAACATTAGACATGGAGGATAGTTTGTCAGTTTCGCAAGA